CGCGTATGGCCATGATAAGTGCTGAATGAATGACTTTGACAGGCTTTCTGTTGTAACATCGCGCAAGGTAAATAAGGGTGACATCTAGTGGAGAAGACTAATGATAAGATTCACGTTAATCAGATCTTGTTTTAAATGTGCTGAAATAAATCCCGGAAAAGATCGATTCGCGGCTTTTGAGAATCGATATCGAATCGACGTCATTTAAAAAAACGATTAATCGAAAAATCGATTTTTTTGCCCAGCCCTATACACGACACTGTCAGCACTACTACTGACTCAGCTCGCTAGTTTTAATACATTAACTGAAATAAGCCAAAAAAATATTATATTTACATATAAAAATATTTCCATTCCAAAGATAACATCCAACACAAATCTACGAAGATGATTTAACCGGTTTACTGCTAACTAGTGAAACACTCCATTAATATGACGAGCTGCAGCTCAAAATACATGTTAGATGGAAACATTGTGCTTTATGATCGAGTTTGTAGCTTAATTAACTATATTTGAAATAGTTTGAGCTGCAGTTCTGTTGCTGACAGTTCAATAGAAATCGGCTGAAAGCATCCAGTCTCTCACACCATTGAAGTGAATGTTCAGTTTATCAGTGTATATTGTAATAAATATTTGATAATTGATTGTTGTATCTGATTATAGTAGTCTTTATAGAGTGATAGTCAATGTAAAAAGAGCAAATGAACACAAAACAGCAGAACAACATAATGTTAAAGAGGGTAAACTTTATCATTCAGCTGAACTGTGCTCGTATGTTTAAAACACTTCGGCTCTTATATGTTCCTACACATCTATTAAATGTTTTCTAGTGTATTTCTTAAACTTCTCCGGTAATGTCAGTGGTGTGACCTATTTCAGATGCGGCCGAAATCATAACAACAGTGCTTACATACACATACTTCATTGTTTGATCAAAATTATTGCAAGGGACAGTTTAACTTCAGAAGTCACTTTAGACGCTTCTTCTCCATCTGTCTCTGTCTCAGGGTGTGGCTCTGGACACCAGCAGGCTGCAGGTGGATCAGAGGTCGTCTCCGTATTCTTTTGCCCAGCAGCAGCAGGTTCAGAAGGGTCTGGGTCTTCACCTGCACAACATGCAGAACCTGCCAATGAAGCGGTCGAGCCCCGGTCAGAACCAGAACCCCAGCCCCGTGAGTTACAGGCCTGCAGACGCCTCGCAGACGCTCCCTCCTCTGCAGCAGATCAGTCCGGCTCTCAGCGGAGATCTGGACCTGTACAGCGTGAGTGACTGACAGCACAGCCATGCTGTATAATAACGGAGTACCATTTACAGGATACTTCAGAGAGTACTGTGGTATTACAGTGCTACCTGTCCATGAAGATGACAGTATAACTGTGGTCACAGGGCTCTACGCTTACTTTTCTTTTTAGGACCGCTTGTGCAAAAAATTTGGAGCAGCTTCTAATCAATAATCAAATTCTGATAAAAATTAACCTTATAAAGCGGATAGTTCCGGTGCTTGATTCTGATTGGCTGAGCCGCGTTCGAAGCTGTTGTAAATGACTCTACAAAGTAACATACACCTTTGTTTACGTTTGTGTGTTGCTCGGCAACCACTTTGTAGCAACCACAACTGTTTCTGAGGAGCTACATTGTTTGGTGGAAGAATACTGTTTTTATTAATATCATTACACTTTATTTGCTCTGTTTTATTTTGTGAAACCTTACTACGTATATGGAATAACCGTTTTATAAAAGCAATAAGCCCCGTAAAGCCGTGGTTTACAGTGAATTTATAACAACTAAATAAACCACTGAGTTCCTAACAACGCCCCTTAGCTGTTATAAATTCACTGTAACCCACGGCTTCACGGGGCTTATTGCTTTATTCCCATTACGCGGTGATATTTGACTCCTTAAAGTGATTTACAGGGAATTTTGTTTTTACCTTTGTAATGGCATTTTTCTAACTTTATTAAAAGTATGTCATCTTTTATGTCAAATTAAAAAAAAAAACATTTATAAGCTCTTTAACATTTCTAATTAAAACAACCGAATAAAAACAAGTAGAATAAGAATAAGTTACCAATCAAATGAAATCAGTATTTAAGAAATAAATTTGTGCTACAGAGGTAGCACAGAAGAACACACAAGTGGCTTGTAGGTGTATTTCCAGACGTTTAATGAGGCTCAGAGGTCGCATGAGTGCAATTAAATCCATAAATTCATGTTGAGGTTAATGTTTTGAATATAGAAATATTAAATTATTTAAATAACAGAAAATAAACTTTAAAAATTTAACTTAAACTGCCAGCAGGTGGCGGCAAGTCACTGATTTTATCACTGAATCATTCATTCAATTGATTCGTTCGAACGGCTGATTCATTCAGGAACGAAGTACGTGACTGTCTTTATGAATGGGTAATTGAATCACTGACTCACTAGATTCGTTTAAAATCGCAGTTCATTCATAAACGAATCACCGCTGTGTTTGAATGGAGGCTCAGCTGTTACTTTGTTTGAAACAATTTTTGTTGACGAAATAAGGCAATAGTGTTGTAGTCGGACAATATAAGTCACTTAATATTAACTTCTTGTTTAATGAACTGTTGTATTAAATCAATATCACATTTGCAAACTCCCTTAATAATCATTAAAAGCTGTCACTCATCTTAGTTCATCGCGATCTCACAAAACTCACAAAGCTCCTTACACTCAGTGTTGTGTGTAACGCGTTACTGTAATTAAATTACCTTTCCACTGAAAAAGTAAAGTAAGGGATTACTGTTCATTTTTAGGTAATTTAATTAGAGTTACTTATAAAGTATTTGCGTTACATACTGTAAATCATTTCAACAGTTCTAAAATCAATATTGAATTTGAAATCTAAATTTACAGTTTAAAGATAAAATTGAATGCAGCGTCTTTAACCCTCTGCGCGCCGGCGCGTTCACGTTCAGTTTTTCCTGATTCACAGAGAAACCTTAAATACTCGGATACAGATAAGACTAAAATCAATCAAATCTACTTTTATTTGTGTACACTGACAATAACAACAAAATATTGTGCTTTTGTAAAATAAACAAAACAAACAGGGTGTGCTTTCTGCCGTCTCGGTCTCCGTGAGCAACTTTCTACGCGTCACAAACTGAGCGAATACTTGACACAGAGACACGAGAAATATGTCTATAGAAAGCTTTATTCAGCAGAGGAGATTTTGACTGAAAACTACTGCGTGCGACTATGAAATAATATTTAGGAGCACCTGTGCGACTGACCCGATCAGCATATTTGTGTTTGCGCTGAGGGAGCTTCAAAGGTTCTAACGTACTTACGTGTTTCTGCAGCGTTGAGTAATGTATCACAGACGTATCTCATTATAACAAACACAGTGTAGACAGAGTGTAAATAAGAGATTCATTGTGCAGTGTAGGGAGCTGCGTCGATTATAATGGAGTTTTGTGAGAGTGCGATGAACTAAGATGAGTGACAGCCTTTAATGATTTTTAAAGGAGTTTGTAAATGTGATACTGATTTAATACAATACAGTTCACTGCTGGCAGTTTTAGTTTAATTTTTAAAGTATCTTTTCTGTTATTTAAATCATTTAATATTTCTATATTCAAGCGCTCCTAAAAAGAAAAGTAAGCGTAGAACCCTGAATTTATTCTTACCTACATTAGTTAACGTGTTATTTTTACATAAACCTGTACGGATTTTACTAGTTGGGCTTTTCCTGAACATCTTGCCAAACTGAAATGTATTGTTTAACTTTTCTTAAGCTTTTTTGTTATTCAGATATTTTGCATTTCAGAGTATTTCTATTTGTTCACCAAAGAAGCTTACTTTTTTTTTTTAAATGTTTAAGTATTACAGTTGTTTTAAAGCTAAAAGGCTAAGCTTTTCTATGTTTGACTCAAATTGAAAAAATAAAGAGTTTAATTTCTATTGTCTATGCTTTAAGGTTTATAGGGATTTTAAGATGTAGCCTAATTAGCGATTTGAATTATTAAGTTACTTATTGAGTAACTAAATTACTTTTCAGACAGAGTAATTAGTAAATGTGACTGAAATGGTCGCACTGTAGAGCCCTGGGTCACTCATACCACAATTTTGTTTTTAACTGAAATATTGCAGTGTTTATTATAAATTATTTAAATGCTTCTCTTTTCTTGTTTGAGAAGCTGTTTAACTCGGATATACTGTATGTCACAATACAGAAAGGAAAGACGATTGCAGCTTCTGTGTTCATGAAGACTTTACCGTCTCATCATAATTCAGTCGAAATTGTGTTTTCTCTTCTGGTTCGATGAAGTGAAGTGTGTTTCATTAAGTTGGCTTGTGAAAGCCAACTTACTGATCTACTATTTAAACTTATTCTTCTTCTTCTTCTGAGCCAAATTTCGACACCTATCTCCTCCTAGAGCTTTAAAGCTCAAACCACCAAACTCGACCCAGACCCTCAGACTGGTCTGACTCGGTGTGCTATATCTTTTCTAACTGATCCGGCTTACGGTTTTCGTAAACCAGACTATTAAAACCTCCTAAAATCCCATAGAATTTCATTGAGGGTGTGAAAACTTTTATACAATAAGACTTATGGTGTATTTAAGCTGTCTACTGCCATAGCAAAGCTTAAAAACTACCTACTGAAAAATAAACAGCTAAAACAAGCTGATTGGCTGCTTTGGCTGGTTTTAAAGTGGTTTTGGCCACTTTTTTAGCAGGTCAGGCTGGTCTTAGCTGTTTTTTTACTGAATCAACTGGTTTTAGCTGGATTAGCATAGAAACATGCGAACAACATGCTAGTAACTTGCTAATCATGCTAG